TTGAATTCATTTGCCAACATAGTTTGGTCAAACTTCGCATGTCATTATTTGAACGCTTGTTTTTAGTCCATAAAGCGACTTAACAAGTTTAGACTTTCTTTTCTGTACCAAAAACAACAAAGCCCTGGGGTTGTTCCATGTAAATTTCTTCCTCCAATTATCCTTTTTTTTTAAAAAATGTTTTCACATCCATTTTGACAAATTTGAAGGTCGTATACCGCAACTAACGCAATTAACATCTGAATTGATGTAATCCTAGTTAGTGGCTATTATGTATCAAAATAATCAAGGCTTTCTTATTGTCTAAAGCCTATGACAACAAGTCTTGTTTTGTATTTTTCAATAGTTTCATCAACTTTCTTTTCCTTTTGTAGATCCACTTTGAACCCAAAGGTTTATAATTTCCTGGAGGAAGATCAACCAACTCTCAAGTACGGTTGCTCAAGATTGAATCTATCTTACTATTGACTATCTCTTTCCAAAAAGGGATGAGTCCATAGAAGACATAGCTTCTTCGAATATGTGAGACTCATTTTTCAACAAGAAATGTTACAAAATCAAACCCAAAGGAAGTAAATGTCCTTTGAATTTACTACGCCTCTGAATTTTGTTATTATGTACATTCTCCTTTGGTTCATTCCATGGTCGTTTCAACCCTTTACTTGGCTACCCGACGGTTCAGACTTATGAACCATAAATCAATATGCTTTACTATTTTTTAGCATATCCAATAAACATATAATCCACAGTCTTAGGTCCTATTTTGATCCTTTGGGAAATAGTTCCCTCATTTCAATTTCTCATATGGAATAGACTGTATTGGAAATTGTTAGATCACTATCTTTCAAGAGTTATTGTGTGTATTAAGGGTCGACAATCAATTCTTTATTAGGATACAATAAAATCTGAACAAATAAATTTTTTTGTTGCTTCCTTTCTTAACAAACAAAAGCTTTTTGTTTGTTGCTCCCTTTATTAACAAACAAAACTTTTTGTTTCTCTCTTTCAGAACGGACAAACTTTTTGTTGTTCTATTTTGCTATAATGATAGCACACCCCCCCCCCCCACACACACAAAAAAAAATTGTAGTAAACCTGAACTTATAGGTAGGACATTCAACATTTCCTTCAAAGTTTTATTTTTTTCTATCAACAATTTCATTAGTTTGAGGTGAGTATGTGCAGTAATTTGATGGATGATTCCATTTTCCAAATATATTTCTGTAAAAGATAATGCATATTCTTCATAGATACCACTTATAATCATGAAAATTATTTTCAACTTCAGTTTATATTGCCACGATGTTTTTATCGCTTCATCCTTACCATTCAACAAATAGACATAACAATATCTAGTGCAATTGTCAATAAAATTTATGAAACATTTTTTCCCACAACGAGATGGTGTTGACTTCATATCACAAATGTTAGTGTAAATCAATTCTAAGGGATTAAAATTCCTTTCAATAAATTTATAAGTATGCTTAACATACTTAGATTCAACACATACTTGACATTTTGATTTATTGCACTAAAAGTTAGGCAAAATTTCTTAGTTGATCAGTTTTTGCAAGGTTTTGTAATTGAAATGTGTAACACCCTGGAAATCTAAGGACCTAAGCTAGAGCCTAACACGTAATCTAGTAACCTAAATGGAGTTAAACGTAAATATTAGAATCCTAAAATAACTTCCCTAACCTAGTACTAAGGTCTTATTGCCTAAACGTCAAAGCATTGCCCCCCCTCCCCAAGGACCCACCAAGGGTCCTTCAGGAGGACCAATGGACTGACCTAAAAGCTGCCAAAAACCAGCATGGTCCATGAAAGGGGGACCCACGCCTCGTGGATGGACTCACGCCCTGTAAGTGGGGGTCATGAGTCAAGGCTTGGCCTTCCCAAAATGAACAAAGTCTCAGTCATTTTCCATGCCCATGCAGTACAGGCTGTAGACCCACTCATGCCCCGTGGGTGGGGTCTCGTGAGTGAGGCCTAAAACATGGCCAAGATGACCAGCCCCAGACCCAACCCACGAGTGACCAGTATGGTCCGTGGGTCCATCCACGCCCCGTGTGTGGGGGGTCATGGATGGGGTTTGTGAAACTGCTCAAAATCTCGGCCAAGGGTGAATTAAATTAGGTAAGTTCTATTTTAATTATTAAAGGGTGGGGACAATTTATATTACTTATTTAGACATTTAAAAGTATTTATTAACTATTATCCAACTATTTTAACACGTCATAACTCACAAGACTCAAAACATAACCAACTCGCCTCTCTAAGAAAAAATATCTCTCTAAGACTCCATTGAAGAACAAGAACAAGTTCAAACTTAGGGTTCAAGGGAGCAGCTTCTTCTCTTCAAGTTCGTGAAGGATCTCCAATCAAGGTATGGGAGACTTGATTCATCGAAAGCTTCCTTCCATGAAGCCCTTAAACTCTATTTCAATTAGTAGGTTTTCTTTAAAACTAGGGTTTTCAATCTAGCCATGGGTTCTTCCTAATAATGATTTCAATGGGTCAATTGTCTTATACTATGGTTGATTTGTTATTTAATGGTGATTTTTATAGTAAAATCCCCCATGAACTCATGAACTCATGAACCCATGAACCCCCCATGACCCCAATTTCATGAATTGTGATAGGTCTACTGATGCATGGTGAATACTATGAATTGTTTCTATGGTACTGTAGTTATTGAATCTTGTTCTATTCATGCCTAATGTAGTGTTTCTAGGTGTGATTGTGATACATGATTCATGACCCTTGAGGGGTAAAATTATGAAGGTTTATGTTTGTTGATAAAAGTTGTGTATGAACTTACGATTCACTTAGAAAGTGAAGATCCTATGACTATTGTGTAAAATGTTGTATTGTTGAAAGATCTTTCTCCCCTTACCCTTACACATGACTATGTATGAATTGTCGATGGTTATAATGTTGTTGTGTTGATTGAAAGGTTATTCTCATGAAACACTATGAACGTAATGTGAAAGGTTTACTCATATGTTCATGATGATTCTAAGGTTGGAAGCTAGTTCTCAACTATTGAATCTATGAGCTATTTTATGAGTTGTATTGAATGAAGGGCAAGATATTCCTTCAAACATGTAAATGCAATTCAAGACTAACTATGTATAAATTGGAAATTAATGCTTAGAACCAAGTGGATATGGAAAATAAGGTAGAGGCCTTTCCATCAATAAAATAGGATTGCTCTTCTACAAATGATCTCATGAGATGGAAACTCCCTCGTCAATACAATAGGACGGGTTTCTAGAAGTAATCTCCCCATACCATAACTAAGTGCCCACATAGGTCTTTAGCTAGTGGATCCACCTAAAATCTATACATTTAGTTCTACCTTAGGCAAGTAGGACACCTTCTTTCGGTGTGGGGTTACACGACACTGGATTACATGTAGCTCACATGGTCTATGTCGGTTAAGGCTATTTTCCCTACATGAATAGATAATGAATATGACATAAACTATACTTATGACTTCTTGATGAGCTTTACTTAGTAGGAGTGGGGGTATGGGACTTCACTTTTACATTGCACAAGTAGACTTTGGAAGGGATTATAGTATAGTTCCTTATGCTATGATAATACATGAATGTATGCATGTATGTTGAATGGATTGTTACTAATGAATGACTTTCTTTATGTTCAAGTAATGTACATGACTATTTCCTTATCTATAACTATGGACTATGATGAGTTCTAAAGATGATATGTGTGACTAAGGTGGCTTCAAAGGAGTACTTAGCATGGTTGGTATTATGGGACACCAACCATACATTTCACAAGTATACCTTAGGGTTGCTAAGGTAATGGTTCTACTATGTTATGAGGATTTATGTGATGAAGATGCTATGACTTGTATTTTACATTAGAATGCATAAATGATTCTCAAACTTGACAAATGCATGCTTTTCAACGAAATTGTCCTTTTTATCAAATTTCAAGGATTTTTATGAATGCTTCCATACTTAGTACTTTATGTGCTAACCCATTTCTTTTACATTTACTATGAGTGTAGGTTCTGGTCATTTAGACGTACTCATTCTTTCAAGTGAAGCTTGGGTTGACTATTCCCTAAGCTTGGTGAGTCCTCATGGTTCGAGGACTAGTCATTATTCATTTCTAGCTTTTATTGTACTTTCTATTTTTGAGACTTTATTGAAGTAAAGGGCTTTTACTCCATTAGTACTCTCTATTGTACTAGATGGTGATTGAGACAAGATCTAGATTCTTATTTTCATTTATGAAAAAGAAGTTGACTTCGATTGTAAAAGTTTTAAATTTTCCGCATCATTTCTATGACTTTATGTGTATGATTATGCTAAGGGCCTGTATACGACCCCATTCGGGGTCAAGTACGTCGTGTTACGTCTAGGGGGTACCCCTGCGTCGTGGCAAACTTGGTATCAGAGCATAAGGTTTAGGGATTAATTTTAGGTTGATGTCTCATAAACCACGTCTAGTAGAGTCTTGTTCATGTGTGAAGTGCGCCACACCTATGAATGAAAGGCTATAAGATATTTAGGAACTTTCACTTCTTTCATTACTCTTTAGTCGTGCTTTGGAGTCCTAACTCTATGAAGTCATTTTCCAAACCATTCTCTTGTGATTATAGGCAATGAATTCAAGAAGGGTGAATGCAAGGTGGATGGAAGAGGAGAATATGGATGAGGCAGTTCCTCTCTAAGCTCCTCAAGCTCCTAATGATGAGGGGGACTATAACCAATGTGGAAATAAGGGCAGCTCTCCAACAATTGACTCAAGTCATGACGGCTCAAGCACAAGCCATAACAACTCAAGCCCAAGCCATGACGGCACAATCAAATAGGGAAGTTAGACCCCGTGTGAATTCTAATGTGAGCACCATGGCTTTAAGGTTGAGAGACTTCACAAGAATGAGCCCTCCTATGTTCTTTGGTTTCAAAGTGAATGAAGATCCTTAAGAGTTTGTGGAAGAGGTCTATAAGATAGTGGATGTTATGGGGGTGACTTCTATTGAGAAAGCCGAACTAATCGCATATCAATTGAAGGATGTGGCCCAAGTATGGTATACTTAATGGAAGGATAATAGGGCTATAAGAGCGGGTCCCATAAGTTGGGAAGTATTCAAGAAAACATTCCTTGATAGGTACTTTCCCCGTGAGAAGAGGGAAGCCAAAGTTGAGGAGTTCATCAAACTTTGTCAAGGAGGTATGTGTGTCCAAGAATACTCCTTGAAATTCACTAATTTGTCCAAGTATGCCTCGTCCTTGGTGTCTAATCCTAGAGATGAGATGAGCCAATTTGTGACAGGTGTGTCTGACTCGATTGAGGAAGAATGTCGTGCGGCAATGCTTCATGATAATATGGACATTTCAAGTCTAATGGTGTATGCTAAACAAGTTGAGGAGACAAGGCTTAGGAAGAAAAATAGAGAGGTAAAGAGGGCAAGGACCGATAATGGAAATTTTTCTAAGGGTAAGTTCGAGGGTCAATGTGGACCAAGATTCAAGAAGAGGTTTTCCAACCAAGACTCCTCTAGTGGTCCAAGGGTCAACAAAGATAAGGTGTCTAACCCTAAGCCTCAAAGAGGCAAGAGTGGGGGATCTTCTATGGTGAGGCCTACTTGTGCCAAGTGCGGTAAAACGCATGATGGTAAATGTCTTGCCAGCATGGGTGTGTGCTATGGTTGTGTAAAGAGTGGCCATCAATTGAAAGATTGCCCAACCCGTACGGCTAAAGAAAGAGATGATAAGAAAACTCCTCCTATTGGTTCAAACTCTGATGCTCCCAAGAAGAACCGCTTCTATGCTCTTTAATCCCGAGGTGACCAAGAGAGTTCCCCGAATGTGGTGATGGGTACGTTGCGAGTCTTTTTTATTGATGTTTATGCATTGTTAGACCCTGGTGCCACATTATCTTTTGTTACACCTTTTGTGGCTATGAATTTTGAAATACTCCCTGATGTGTTAGAAGAACCTTTTTCGGTGTCTACCCCGGTTGGTGACTCGGTAGTGGAAAAAAGAGTCTATAGGAGTTGTCTTATTTCTTTGTCTCATAAAGTCACTTTGGTTGATTTGGTAGAATTAGACAAACTTGATTTTGATGTAATTTTGGGCATGGGTTCGTTGCGTGCATGTTATTCTTCAATAGATTGTAGGACCCAGGTAGCCAAATTTTAATTTCCAACTGAGTCTATTTTAGAGTGGAAAGGGGTGAATTCTATTCCTAGAGGTCAATTTGTTTCATATCTAAAAGCTAGGAAAATGATCTCCAAGGGGTGCATGTATCACATTGTTAAGGTTATGGATGCGGAGTCCAAGGTCCCTTCTTTATAGTCAGTCTCCCTGGTGAGTGAATTTTCGGAAGTCTTTCCCGATGACTTGCTCGGCATTCCTCCTGAATGGGAAATAGAATTTGGCATTGATCTTTTTCCAGATACACAACCCATATACATCCCTCCCTATAGAATAACTCCGGCCGAATTGAAAGAGTTGAAGGAGCAACTCAAGGACTTGTTAGACAAAGGTTTTATTTAACCAAGCATATCTCCATGGGGTGCTCCGGTATTGTTTGTGAAAAAGAAAGATGGGTCCCTTAGGATGTGTATAGACTACTACCAATTGAACAAGATGACTATAAAGTATAAGTATCCCCTTCCTAGAATTGATGATTTGTTTGAAAAACTTCAAGGGGCTAACTATTTCTCCAAAATAGATCTTCGTTCAGGTTACCATAAAATAAGGGTAAGAGGGGTTGAAATTCCCAAGACGACCTTTAGTACCTGGTACAGTCACTTTGAATTTGTGGTTATGTCATTTGGGTTGACCAATGCCCCGGTGGCATTCATGGACCTAAAGAATAGAGTATTTAGGCAATATCTTGATTCGTTTGTGATCGTTTTTATTGATGATATTTTTATCTATACAAGGAGTGAGGGTGAACATATGGATCATTTGAGGATCATATTGCAAGTCCTTAAAGACCACCAATTATATGCTAAGTATAGTAAGTGCGAGTTTTGGCTAAGGTCGGTCGCCTTCCTTGGTCATATTGTGTCGGGCATGGGTATTGAGGTAGATCCTAAGAAGACGGATGCGGTCAAGGGTTGGCCTAGACCTTTAACTCCTACCAATATTAGAAGTTTTTTGGGTTTGGCCGGCTACTATAGGAGGTTTGTTGAGGGTTTCTCCTCTATTGCTTCTCCATTGACGGCTTTGACTCAAAAGAAAGCTAAGTTTGTGTGATCGGAGGCTTGTGAGAAAAGCTTCCAAGAATTGAAAGATAGACTTACATCCGCTCCGGTGTTGACCTTACCAGAGGGTACCGATGGGTTTGTTGTATATTATGACGCTTCTCGAGTGGGTTTGGGATGTGTCCTTATGCAATATGGCAAAGTGATTGCCTATGCTTCAAGGCAACTCAAGATACATGAAAAGAATTATCCAACTCATGATCTCAAATTAGCGGCGATGGTGTTTGCCTTGAAAATTTGGAGGCACTACCTATATGGGGTCCATGTAGGTGTTTTCACCGACCACAAGAGTCTTCAATATGTGTTTAGCCAAAAAGAATTAAATCTCTGACAAAAAAGGTGGTTATAACTTTTAAAGGATTATGATATGAGTGTCCTTTACCACCCTGGCAAAGCCAATGTAGTTGCGGATGCGCTAAGTCGAATGTCCATGGGTAGTGTGGCCCATGTAGAAGATGAGAAGAAGGAGTTAGTTTGTGATGTGCATTGGTTGGCTAGATTAGGTGTCCAACTAGTGGACTCCACCAAGGGTGGTGTCATGGTCCATCATAGTTCCGAATCATATTTTGTTGTAGATGTAAAGTCTAAACAACACCTTGATCCTATTTTGATGTAGTTGAAAGAATCGATACTTGGTAAATCCATTGAGGCTTTCTCCCAAGGGGGAGATGGGGTGCTTAAGTACCAAGGTAGGTTATGTGTTTGGGATGTTGATGGCTTAAGAGAGAAAATTTTAGAAGAGGCTCATGGTTCGCGGTATTCTATTCATCCGGGAGCCACCAAGATGTGTCGTCATCTACGGGAAGTCTATTGGTGGAATTGCATGAAGAAGGATATAGCGGGTTTTGTGGCCAAATGTCCGAATTGTCAACAAGTTAAGGCCGAACACCAAAAACCGGGAGGTTTGTCCCAAGATAAAGATATTCCTACTTGGAAGTGGGAAGATGTAAATATGGACTTTGTTGTGGGTTTGCCTCGTACTCGAAGGCAACATGATTCTATTTGGGTCATTGTTGATAGGATGACAAAATCAGCCCACTTTTTTCCCGTCAAGGTTTCTTATTCGGCGGAAGACTATGCCACTTTGTACATATAGGAAATAGTGAGGTTGTATGGGGATCCTTTGTCTATTATTTCGGATCGAGGTACTCAATTTACTTCACACTTTTGGAAGGCATTTCAAAAAGGTCTTGGTACCAATGTTAAGCTTAGTATCGCTTTCCCCCCTCAAACGGATGGTCAAGCGAAACGCACCATTCAACTCTTAGAGGACATGTTGAGGGCGTGTGTGATTGATTTCAAGGGTAATTGGGATGACCATCTACCATTGATAGAGTTTGCCTACAACAATAGTTGCCACTCAAGTATTGCCATGGCTCCGTTTGAAGCACTTTATGGTAGGAGGTGTAGATCTCCGTTGGGTTGGTTCGAAGTAGGTGAATTTTCTCTAATTGGTCCCAAACTAGTTTATGAAGCCATTGCAAAAGTTTGACTCATTAGAGAGAGGTTGAAGCGGCCCAAAGTCGGCAAAAGTCTTATCCCGATGTTAGAAAAAGGGATCTAGAATTTGAAGTTAGTGATTGAGTCTATTTAAAAATCTGACCCATGAAGGGTGTGATGAGGTTTGGCAAAAAGGGGAAACTTAGTCCCCGGTTTGTGGGTCCCTATCAAGTTTTGAACCGTATTGGGAAAGTAGCCTATGAATTAGACTTGTCAAATGAATTGGCTCCGGTTCACCCGATATTTCATGTTTCTATGCTCAAGAAATGCATTGGTGATCCGGTAACCATCATTCCTTTAGAGGGTTTGGGATTTGATGAGAGCCTTTCCTATGAAGAGATAGAAATTCTAGACGGCCAAGTTAAGAGGTTGAGAAATAAAGAAGTATCTTCCGTTAAGATTTTATGGAGGAATCACTTAGTTGAGAGTGCTACATGGGAGGGCGAGGCCAACATGAAGTCCCTTTATCCTCATCTTTTTCCTTCTACTCCTATTCAAACTTGAGGTAAGTAGTTCCTCTTGAGTTTTTAGTGTTTTGGTAGTCATGTGTATTGTATGAGTTTTCCATGATTTCCTTATGTTATGCATGTTCTTGTGAGAATTCATGTTTAGCATAAATTGAGTTTTCATGACTTATATGTTCCTTATGTTGATTTGCAACTTAGTATGATGATTGCATATTTGACTTCATGAGGTGAATTTGTGAACATGCTTAGTTGTGTTTTTGATGAAGTGACATGTTGGCTCAATATGATGGTGTTGAACTTGCTTTGACTTGGAGAAGGTAGTTCCTCCCATGTTTATGTGAATTGATGAGTTTTGTGCATATTGGTTTGGTAGATGAAGTTCCCACTTCCTTGTGCTGCATTAACCATGTCTTGATATGGAGTTGAAGTTTCCTCCTTTTGAATAGTGCATGAGGTGAATAGTGCATTTGTAAGTTTTTCACATTTTGATGTTTCATGCATAATGGGCTGCTATTCTAGAGTTTCTAACTTAGTTTGGTGTTTGAATAATCATTCGGGGAGGAGTGTTCCCAAGGGGGAGATAATGTAACACCCTGGAAATCTAATGACCTAAGCTTGAGCCTAATACGTAGTCTAGTAGCCTAAATGGAGTTAAACGTAAAGATTAGAATCCTAAAATAACTTCCCTAACCTAGTACTAAGGTACTAGTTCCTAAACGTCAAGGCATGCCCCCCAAAGAGGAGGACCAATGGACTGGCATAAAAACTGCCAAAAACCAGCATGGTCCACGAAAGGGACACCCACGCCTTGTGGGTGGACTTACGCCCCGTAGGTGGGGGTCGTGAGTCAAGGCTTGGCCTTCCCCAAATGACCAAATTAAGTCTCAGTCACTTTCCATGTCCATGCAGTACGGGCCGTAGACCTACTCACGCCCTTTGGGTGGGGGTCTCATGAGTGAGGCCTGAAACATGACCAAGATGACCAGCCCCAGACCCAACCCACGACTGACCAGTACGGTCCGGGGTTCCATCCACGCCCCGTGGGTGGGGGTTCGTGGATGGGGTCTGTGAAACTTCTCAAAATCTCGGCCAATGGTGAATTAAATTAGGTAAGTTCTATTTTAATTATTAAAGGGTGGGGACGGTTTATTTTACTTATTTAGACATATAAAAGTAGTTATTAACTATTAACCAACTCTTTTAACACCTCATAACTCACAAGACTCACAACATAACCAACTCTCCTCTCCAACAAAAATTCTCTCTCTAAGACTCCACTGAAGAACAAGAACAAGTTCAAGCTTAGGGTTCAATGGGGAAGCTTCTTCTCTTCAATTTTGTGAAGGATCTCCAATCAAGGTATGGGAGCCTTGATTCATGGAAAACTTCCTTCCATGAAGACCTTAAACTCTCTATTTCAATTAGTAGGTTTTCTTAAAAACTAGGGTTTTCAATCTAGCCATGGGTTCTTCCTAAAAACGATTTCAATGGGTCAATTGTCTTATATTATGGTTGATTTGTTGTTTGATGGTGATTTTTATAGTAAAATCTCCCATGAACCCATGAACTCCCCCATGACCCCAGTTTCATGAATTGT